ACTCATGCTGAAATAAAAGTATTTATACTATTTAATCTATGAAATACATCTATTTCTGTTCTATTGACTATTCTAAAGCCTTTGACTGTGTGGATCATAATAAACTGTGGCAAGTTCTTGGTGGGATGGTCATCCCAAGCCACCTTGTCTCTCTCCTGAGGAATCTGTACAAGGACCAAGGAGCAACAGTAAGAACTGACCGTGGAACAACAGAAGGTGCAGCAGTACCTTTTGCTACTGCACATTACATTAGCCAGCAAATACTTGTTTTGGTTTCAGGGGAGCGTGCTTGCTCCATCCATGTTCAACATTTACACAAACGACCAGCCACTGCCAGAAGGGACAGAGAGTTTCATCTATGCTGATAATCGTGCCATCTTAAGCAGGGAGCTTTGAGATGGTAGAACAGAAGCTCTAAGTGCTCTTATTGCCTATTACAGGGAAAACCAACTGATCCCTAATCCATCTAAAACACAGACATGTGCCTTTCACCTTAAGAACAGACAAGCATCCCGAGCTCTGAGGATTACCTGGGAAGGAATCCCACTGGAGCATTGCAGCGCACCCAAATACCTGGGAGTCACTCTGGACCATGCTCTGACCTACAAGAAGCACTGCCTGAACATCAAGCAAAAAGTGGGTGCTAGAAACAACATCATACGAAAGCTGACTGGCACAACCTGGGGATCACAACCAGACACAGTGAAGACATCTGCCCTTGCGCTATGCTACTCTGCTGCTGAGTATGCATGCCCAGTGTGGAACACATCTCACCACGCTAAAACAGTGGATGTGGCTCTTAATGAGACATGCCGCATTATCACGGGGTGTCTGCGCCCTACACCACTGGAGAAAATACACTGTTTAGCTGGTATTGCACCACCTGACATCTGCCAGGGAAGTAGCAGCCAATAGTGAAAGGACCAAGGCAGAGACATCTCCAGCTCATCCCTTGTTTGGGTATCAGCCAGCACGTCAACGACTTAAATCAAGAAATAGTTTTCTAAGATCTACAGAGACACTCGCTGGAACACCCCAGCAAGTGAGAGTCCAAAAGTGGCAGGCTCAAACCCAGAACCTCAACCAATGAGAGAGATTCCCCCCTGGGCACAGAGAAGACTGGGCGACTTGGAAGGCGCTGAACAGACTGCGCTCTGGCATCACAAGAAATGGGGCTACAAAGTGGAATCCACAACATACGGGGAGCAAACCACTGACCACCTGCTTCAATGCAACCTGAGCCCTGCCACATGCACAATGGAGGACCTTCTTGCGGCAACACCAGAGGCACTCCAAGTGGCCAGATACTGGTCAAAGGACATTTAATCAACTACCAAGCTTGCAAACTTTGTGTTTTCTTATCTGTTTGTTTGTTTTTTTCTGTTAGAAATGTAATAAAATGGTCTGGTTGCCCCTGACACGATAAATAAAATAGGGTTTTAGGAATTGAAGTACGTATTAGATTTGATGGTGCATTAGACTGAAGTAAATACAGTATATTGCCATGCTCCAACTGCAGGCAGCAACTGTAATGGGCATATTACAAAAAGTGCACCTTTTGCTGCTGCACATTACATAGCCAGCAAATCATAGAATCAAAGAGTTGGAAGAGACCTCATGGGCCATCCAGTTCAACCCCCTGCCAAGAAGCAGGAATATTGCATTCAAATCACCCCTGACAGATGGCCATCCAGCCTCTGTTGAAAAGCTTCCAAAGAAGGAGCCTCCACCACACTCCAGGGCAGAGAGTTCCACTGCTGAACGGCTCTCACAGTCAGGAAGTTCTTCCTCATGTTCAGATGGAATCTCCTTCTTGTAGTTTGAAGCCATTGTTCCGCGTCCTAGTCTCCAGGGAAGCAGAAAACAAGATTGCTCCCTCCTCCCTGTGGCTTCCTCTCACATATTTATACATGGCTATCATATCTCCTCTCAGCCTTCTCTTCTTCAGGCTAAACATGCCCAGCTCCTTACGCCGCTCCTCATAGGGCTTGTTCTCCAGACCATTGATCATTTTAGTCGCCCTCCTCTGGACACATTCCAGCTTGTCAATATCTCTCTTGAATTGTGGTGCCCAGAATTGGACACAATATTCCAGGTGTGGTCTAACCAAGCGGAATAGAGCATGGGGAGCATGACTTCCCTAGATCTAGACACTAGGCTGAGAGGAGATATGAGAGCCATGTATAAATATGTGAGAGGAAGCCACAGGGAGGAGGGAGCAAGCTTGTTTTCTGCTTCCCTGGAGACTAGGACGCGGAACAATGGCTTCAAACTACAAGAGAGGAGATTCCATCTGAACATGAGGAAGAACTTCCTTACTGTGAGAGCCGTTCAGCAGTGGAACTCTCTGCCCCGGAGTGTGGTGGAGGCTCCTTCTTTGGAAGCTTTTAAACAGAGGCTGGATGGCCATCTGTCAGGGGTGATTTGAATGCAATATTCCTGCTTCTTGGCAGGGGGATTGGACTGGATGGCCCATGAGGTCTCTTCCAACTCTTTGATTCTATGATTCTATGATTCTATGTTGCAGGCCAAAATTCCATTGGCTTTTTTTGCCGCCACATCACATTGTTGGCTCATGTTTAACTTGTTATCCATGAGGACTCCAAGATCTTTTTCACACGTACAGCTTTCGAGCCAGGCATTGTCCCCATTCTGTATCTTTGCATTTCGTTTTTCCTGCCAAAGTGGAGTATCTTGCATTTGTCCCTGGTGAACTTCATTTTGTTAGTTTTGGCCCATCTCTCTAATCTGTCAAAACAAATCCTTTTGTTTTGTTTTTTTGGTTTCAGGGTTTTAAAAATTGAGGTGCGCATTAGATTCAATGGTGCATTAGACTTGAGTAAAAACGGAAATGGTGTCCTTGGTGAAGCAAGGAGAGAAAACAAAGTCTGTTAGCTACACAAAGATCTGAATTAGTTCTGTGAGCAGAATCAGCAGTGCTACGCAGGGTCAGTGACCAGTACCAAGAGTGTCCTGGGAGACCTGGCCTGGGATCAAGCATCTCCGTTCCCCAGGCAACGTTGCCGTCACAGCCTCGACCAGGACATCTTTAACCTTTCCGCTCTGTCCATGGGCCTGAGAAAAGCCGGTGGGGCAGCCAAGGATCGTCCGCCCCCCTTGGAGCAGGAAACTCTATCTCCGTGGCTAAATTGAGCTGCTCAGCAGGGCAGCTGCCTTCGGATTGCAAAGGGGTGCTTGGAGTCCTTACCTGAAACCCAGCTCCCCATTGCTCTGCAATCGGAGAGCCAGTTTGAGTCAGGGAAAGCTCCAGGATGTGTTCACTGGCTTCTCCGCTGCTTCCATCAGCACAGAGGGCTTCCCCAACAAGGGGGGAAACTAGGAAGGGGTTTTGACTACTCTCGGCGACAGTGGAAAGACAGGTTTATAACAACCATCCTGATTTACACAGCCAACAGCCGTAACAAGCATTAACACAACCACAGCAATTGCAGGCCTAGCATCTTCAGGGCAGTCATACTTCTCATGCAATATGTGTGTTGTGTTGTGCGACTTTAAATCATCCTCTAGGCCAGTGATTCTTAACCTTCCTAATGCCGCAACCCCTTATTACAGTTCCTCGTGTGGTGGTGACCCCCACAATAAAATTATTATTAATCTAGTTGGTTTTTTTAATGTTTCGCTGCAACTTTGCTTTTGCGCTTTCTTCTTTCACCTTGATTAGAAGGCTCCTCAGCTCCTCCTCGCTTTCAGCCATCAGAGTGGTGTCATCTGCATATCTGGTTGTTAATGTTTCTTCCAGCAATTTTAATCCCAGCCTTGGATTCGTCAAGCCCCACACATTGCATGATGTGTTCTGCATACAAGTTGAATAGGTCGGGTGAGAGAATACAACCCTGCTGTACTCCTTTCCTAATCTTGAACCAGTCTGTTGTTCCGTGGTCAGTTCTGACTGTTGCTACTTGGTCCTTGTACAGCAGTGGTCCTCAACCTTCGTAATGCTGTGACCCCTTAATCCAGTTCCTCGTGGTGTGGTGACCCCAAACCATAACGTTATTTTTGTTGCTACTTCATAACTGTAATTTTGCTACTGTTATGAATCGCAATGTAAATATCTGACACACAGGATGTATTTTCATTCACTGGATGAAATTTGGCACGAATACCTGATATGCCCAAATTTGAATGTTGGTGGAGTTGGGGGGATTGATTTTGTCATTTGCGAGTTGTAGTTGCTGGGATTTATAGTTCATCTACAATCCGAGAGCATTCTAAACTCCAACGATGGAATTGAACCAAATTTGGCACACAGAACTCCCATCACCAACAGAAAATACTGGAAGAATTTGGTGGGCATTGACCTTGAGTTTTGGAGTTGTAGTTCTCCAGAGAGCACTGTGGACTCAAACAATGATGAATATGGACCAAACTTGTCATGAATTCTCAATATGCCCAGTTGTGAACACTGCTGAAGTTTGGGGAAAATAGACCTGGACCTTTGGGAGTTGTAGTTGCTGGGCTTTATAGTTCACCTACAATCAAAGAGCACTCTGAACGCAGCCCACAATGGAACTGTACCAAACTTGGCACACTACCTACATGGCCAACACTGAATACTGGTGGGGTTGGGGGGGGGCTGTTTTTGAATTCTGGGAGTTGTAGTTCACCAACACCAAAAAGGAAGAGAAGGGCAGGCAGAGAGATCTTCAGTCTTGTCTGCCAAAAGAGTTCCTAAGACCATCAGAAATCTGTTTTGTTCTGATGGTCTTTAGTGACCCCTCTGAAACCCCCTTGCGACCCCCCTAGGGGTCCCGACCCCCAGGTTGAGAAACACTGTTGTACAGATTTCTCAGGAGAGAGACAAAGTGGCTTGGTATGCCCATCCCACCAAGAACTTGCCACAATTTATTATGTTTTCACTAGATATGGCAATATCATCTTTTGGCCCCATTGGGCTGTGCCAGATGGCCAAGGCTGCTGCACCACGACATCTGCATGTGTCTCCTTCTACCTGGAAAAGAGATGGGTCTGACTCCATTCAGTTTATGTAACAGCCACATAAAAGTTTATTTTAAAACTTGGTCCCTTGATCAGACCCAGCAGGTGAGGCAGGGGCACTTAGGCCAGGAAATGAGAGGGTCACACAGAAACACGAAGGAGCTCTCAGCGCGGCAATCCGAAGCCAAGAGAAGTTATTTACAGAGGGGGAGCGGAGGGGTGAGAAGTGCGGGCAGGGGCAGGGTTTCATACTTGGTAGGGAAACAGAAAAACGGCACCTTGCGCCTTCCCAAGGGGCAGAAGGAAGCCTGCCCTGTAAAAGACACTTTATTTTTGTTCAAATATACAATAGTCAACATTAAGATATCAAGGTTCCTCTGGAAAAAAACAAGTCACTCTAAAATGCACACAGGGTCTGCAAAGGGACATGGTTCCATACAGAAAAACGACACCTCGCCCTCCCAAGGGGCAGAGGGAAGCATGCCCAGTAAGAACACTTTATTTACTTTTAGGTATACAATAGTCAAGATAAAAATAACAAGGTTCCTCTGAAAAAAAAAACACGAGTCACTCTAAAATGCAAACACAGTCTGGAAAGGAACATAGTCAGAATACTTAATCCACAAAATGGAGACATAACAAAAACTGGCCAGTGGCAGTTTTAAGAGAGAAACGTCTGTATGAAGGCAGCCAGTTAACAGTCCAAGGGCAAGGAAGGAGGTCCTCTTATTTCCTGGGCAGAGGGGCATTTGGGGCGGAGGGTGGTGGTGTCTCGTCAACGGTGGAATCGGTCAGAGAACTTCGGAGACTTGGGGACAGTCAGTGGCTGATCGCTGCCCTTGACTTCCACAGTCTGGTATTTCCGGATGGGGTTGGCCTTGTGCACCTGGAGAGAAACAAGAAGAAGGTCTTTAGTGGCGAATGGCCAGTCATTTAGCCGGGAGGGGGGGGCCTTAGGGGGCTTCAACCCCCCCCCCCCGAAATTCTCATGGTGGTTCGCGAAAAGGCCTTACTGGTGCATTATTGGTTTTGGAGTTGTAGTTCACCTACATCCAGAGATCACTGTGGACCCAAACAATGATGGATGTGGACCAAACTCTACACAAATACTCAATATGCCCAAATGTGAACACTGGTGAAGTTTGGGGAAAATAGAATCTTGACATTTGGGAGTTCTAGTTGCTGGGATTTATAGTTCACCCACAATCAAAGAGTATTCTAAACCCCACCAACAATGGAATTGAACTAAACTTGGCACACAGTTCTCCCATGACCAAGAGAAAATACTGAAAGGGTGTCCTTTGGTTTTGGAGTTGTAGTTCACCTACATCCAGAGATCACTGTGGACCCAAACAATGATGGATGTGGACCAAACTCTACAAACAATGATGGATGTGTTATGTTTATTCATATCAACTCAAACAATGATGGATGTGTTATGTTTATTCATATCAATTCATTACTCATATACAACTCTGTTATGTTTATTCATATCATGATCTGATCACCATGCTCAATATATCCCATATGCATGGGGGTATTGGGGTAACGATACAAAAGGTTTGCTAGGCTAGACCCTCTTTCACTCACTGGGATATATCTATATAAATAAAATGTAATGTTCGTTTGTGGGATTAACAGAACTCAAAAACCACTGGACGAATTGACAACAAATTTGGACGCAATACACTTAACAACCCAATGTATGTCCTTCACTCAAAAAATTGATTTTGTCATTTGGGAGTTGTAGTTGCTGGGATTTTTATAGTTCACCCACAATCAAAGAGCATTCTGAACCCCACCAACGATGGAATTGAACTAAACTTGGCACACAGTTCTCCCATGACCAACAGAAAATACTGGAAGGGTGTCCTTTGGTTTTGGAGTTGTAGTTCACCTACATCCAGAGATCACTGTGGACCCAAACAATGATAGATGTGGACCAAACTCTACACGAATACTCAATATGCCCAAATGTGAACACTGGAGGAGTTTGGGGGAAATAGAATCTTGACATTTGGGAGTTGTAGTTGCTGGGATGTATAGTCCACCTACAATCACAGAGCAATCTGAACCCCACCAACAATGGAATTGAACTAAACTTGGCACACAGTTCTCCCATGACCAACAGAAAATACTGGAAGGGTGTCCTTTAGTTTTGGAGTTGTAGTTCACCTACATCCAGAGATCACTGTGTACTCAAACAATGATGGATGTGGACCAAACTCTACACGAATACTCAATATGCCCAAATGTGAACACTGGCGGAGTTTGGGGAAAATAGAATCTTGACATTTGGGAGTTGTAGTTGCTAGGATTTATAGTTCTCCTACAATCACAGAGCATTCTGAACCCCACCAATGATAGAATTGGGCCAAACCTCCCACACAGAACCCCCATGTGGGCCACAGCAATGCGTGGCAGGGGGCGGCTAGTATTACAATACAATATGCTGGCAATGGCAGACCAACCTCTGTCTCTGAAATACAGGGTGTTAGAAGGATGAAGGCACCCAGAGAGAGTGGAGAGGGAGGGTTTGTGGACCAGCAACTGGGAAGGATAAGACATGGGGAGAATCTCAGTGATCAAACAGGTGCTTTGAATGAACACCTCCCCTCCACCACTGCTCTCATCAATGCCGCTGGTCGTGAATTCCAGGGAACTAATTTTATTTATTTATTTATTTATTTCTCGCACTTCTACCCCGCCCTTCTCAACCCCCGAGGGGGGACTCAGGGTGGCTTACAAAAAGGCACAATTCGATGCCAGCACAACAACAAGGTAAAAAATAAAACATATAAACAGTAATTAAAACAATCCATTATACATTACAATCCCTAAAAACATTTCCTGTCGTAGTCAACTGTGAATCGCACATATGGTATTCCTGCGCCTGCGCAGGCCAGCTTCGGAACCTTCTAGAAGTCAAAACACTCCATCCCCCTCTTGGCCCCGCCGTAGTCCGTAAATTCAAATTCCACATTGTCCCATCCATCAATTCTAGTCATCGCTTGTCCCTTATCTATCCGCCAGATTACCCGAAGGCCTGGTCCCAAATCCATGTTTTTAATTTCCTTCTAAAGGAGAGGAGGGATGTCGATGACCTAATTTCCCCGGGGAGTGAGTTCCACAGGTGAGGGGCCACCACCGAGAAGGCCCTGCTCCTCGTCCCCACCAATCTCACTTGTGATAGAGGTGGGGCCGAGAGCAGTGCCTCCCCAGAAGATCTTAAACTCCGAGGCGGGACGTAGAAGGAGATGCGTTCGGACAGATACGCTGGGCCGGAACCATATAGGGTTTTGTAGGTCAAAACCTGCACTTTGAATTGTGCTCGGAACTGGATCGGCAGCCAGTGGAGCTGACATAACAGGGGTGGTATGCCTCCCTGTATGATGCTCCGGTAAGTAATCTAGCTGCCGCCCGCTGGACTAATTGAAGTTTCCGAACAGTCTTCAAAGGCAACCCCACGTAGAGCGCATTGCAGTAATCTATTCGGGATGTTACCAGAGCGTGGACCACTGTGGCCAGATCAGACTTCCCAATGTATGGGCGCAACTGGCGCACAAGTTTTAATTGTGCAAAAACTCTCCTGGCCACTGCTGAGACCTGGGGTTCCAGGCTCAGCGATGAGTCCAGGATCACTCCCAAGCTGCGAACCTGCGTCTTCAGGGGGAGTGTAACCCCGTCCAACACAGGCTGTAACCCTATACCCTGTTCGGCCTTACGACTGACCAGTAGGACCTCTGTCTTGTCTGGATTCAGTTTCAATTTGTTAGCTCTCATCCAGTCCGACACAGCAGCCAAGCACCGGTTCAAGGTCTGGACAGCCTCCTTGGTGACAGGTGGGAAGGAGTGACAGATTTGGACATCATCTGCATAGAGATAACACCTCATTCCGAAACTCCGAATGATCTCCCCCAGCGGCTTCATGTAGATGTTAAACAACATCGGGGACAGAATTGAACACTCTTGCTGGAGTCTGCACTGGACTAGTTCTTTCCAACTCTGGCTAGTTACACAATTTGAAGTAACCTCCCAACCGAGAGGCTCATTTACCATCTCTTCTCTGAGTCTGGCCACCTCCTTTTTCTCCCGCTCCTCCTCAATGCGCCTCGCTTCTTCTTGGAGTTGTGCCTTCAGGGCCTCCTGCTCGGCCTGGCGCTTCTCATACTCCTGCCGCTTTCGGGCGCGCTCCTCGGTCGCCAGCTCAAAGCCCTCGGGAGCTGCAGAATCAGAAAGAGCCTCTGAGTTCAGAAGCAGAGAGGGAACAACAACACATATGCGGTCAAGTGGAAACAGGCACGCAAAACACAGCCCTGAGCACCTCCACATGCAAAGATCAGAGGCATTTCTATGACAGACAACAGGGTTCCAACAGAAGAATTGAATGGCTTCTTGCACCAGAGTCACATGAATTCAACGAGAACAATGATTCCACCATATAAAAACTCTGCTTGGTCAGGACATGGTTAGCCCAGTGTTCTATCCTGTTGGGCAAGTGGACTTATGTCAGGTTTTACAATGTATTGCAATGTAATATAGCTGAGTCATGCACTGCTAATGGGCTTCTATTGGAAATGCTGAGTCATGCATTAACTGTATATAGAACTTCATTTGGGGAATGTGTTCTGGCCTAGTCCAGGTGATTGTGAATGATGTAATCCTGGGTCTGAGTTAAGTTAATGAGTTGGGAACCAATCAGAGATTGCTATGTGTAAATGAATTGTATATAAGGAAGTCATGTACAGTGTATATCTCTCCTTGTGCTGTGATGTTGTTCGTCGAAGGCTATATGTAATTAAAAGAACCTGTCTGCTAAGACAAGATATAACTGTGTGCTGTGGTAAGTCTGTAATATCATCTAGACCAGTGGTTCTCAACCTTGCTAATGCCGTGACCCCTTAATGCCATTCCATATGTTGTGGTGACCCCCAACCATAATATTGTTTTCGTTGCTACTTGATACCTGTCATTTTAGTATGGTTATAAATCGTAATGTAAATATCCGATATGCAGGATATATTTTCATTCACTGGACTAAATTGAGCACAAATACTCAATATGCCCAAATGTGAATGCTAGTGGGGTAGGGGAGGATTGATTTTGTAATTTGGGAGTTGTAGTTGCTGGGATTTATAGTTCACCTATAATCAAAAAGCATTCTGAACTCCACCAGCGATTGGATTTAAACCGAACTTGGCACAAAGAACTCCCATGACCAACAGAAAACACTGGAAGTGTTTTGTGGGCATTGACCTTGAGTCTGGGAGTTGTAGTTCACCTATATCCTGAGGAGCACTGTGGACTCAAACAAGGATGGATCTGGACCAAACTTGGCACAAATACTCAGTATGCCCAAATGTGAAAACTGGTAGAAGTTTGGGTAAAATACACCTTGACATTTGGGAGTTGTAGTTGCTGGGATTTATAGTTCACCTACAATCAAAGAGCATTCTGAACTCGACCAACAATAGAATTGGGTCAAACTTCCCACACAGAATCCCAATGACCACCAGAAAATACTATGTTTTCTGATGGTCTTTGGCGACCCCTTTGACACCTCCTCACGACCCCCTCGGGGTCCCGATCCCCAGGTTGAGAAACACTGATCTAGACTAAGAGGAAAGACAATGGTAAAACTGACAATGGCCGGGCATGTGCTCAAGTGTCTGTAAAAGGTTCCAGAGTGACTGCGGGCTGTGGGAGCAATTGACTGAAAATACTGTGCAGGAAGAAGCTACTGGAAAGCGCTGAAGTTGTGCAACTGATCTGCTGCTGAATTGTGAAGTTAATCTCAACAACTTATTAACAAAAGACCCTCCTCATAAATGCACAGCAGAGTAACTTATCAGCAGCAGTATGACCCAGCACCAGTCGCCCAAAGTGACAAAAACAACAAATCCACACACACCAAAGTTATCTCTTCCTTAGGAGGCTTTTCTTTGTAGTAAAACAATATGGTTGCACTATTTACAACACCATTCATGGTTTCCATACACGAATAAACAATACATAGTAGCTTTATTTTATTACAGTCTTTTAATTGTTTTATCCTGTATATGTGGCCCGCCCATTGTTATCGTTATTGTGATTGTGCTTTTTGGAATGTTATTTTATGACTCTTTTTTTTTCTCTTATGTAATTTAGGATGTTGTTGTTATTTGTCGTTAATGCTTTGATTTTATTGCTGTAATATGTTGTCCGCTCCGAGTCCCACACCTGGAATATTGTGTCCAATTCTGGGCACCACAATTGAAGAGAGATATTGACAAGCTGGAATGTGTCCAGAGGAGGGCGACTAAAATGATCAAGGGTCTGGAGAACAAGCCCTATGAGGAGCGGCTTAAGGAGCTGGGCGTGTTTAGCCTGAAGAAGAGAAGGCTGAGAGGGGATATGATAGCCATGTATAAATATGTGCGAGGAAGTCACAGGGAGGAGGGAGCAAGCTCGTTTTCTGCTTCTCTGGGGACTAGGACGCGAAACAATGGCTTCAAACTACAAGAGGGGTAGCATTGCTTCCCTGGACCTAGACACTATGCTTCTATTGATGCAGGCCAAAATCCCATTGGCTTTTTTTGCTGCCACATCACATTCCTGGCTCATGTTTAACTTGTTGTCCACGAGGACTCCAAGATCTTTTTCACACGTACTGCTCTCGAGCCAGGCATTGTCCCCCATTCTGTATCTTTGCAATACATTTTTGTAAACTGTCTTTCAGAGAAGCCCACTTCTCCCCAGGTAAGTCCTCTTGCAAAGGAAAGGCATAAATATTATGATGTGACACATAATATTCTTATGTCCCAGCAGATGCCTGAGGATGGCTGTAAAGCCCATTGTGTCACATGCAGCCCCTATGTTTGCTCTCAAAAGGTGCCCTCCCATCCAGGGGGTAACCATACCCACATCAATGGGCAAGTGGGTTGGCTCAACTTTAAAGCCCTGTCCAAAAATAAGCTTTGGCACATTTGCTGTCTTTTCTATGTCCAAGAGAAGAGTTATATGTTGGCACGTAGATCTGGGCCTGGCAAGTATACATATAGTTTCGGTTTGCACAATTTATGCAGATTGCAGAGAAAGAGTTTGTCCAGGATTTGAACTCTCTTGGCACAGAATTCTCAGTGTTATTTATTATGCAGAACACGTGACCTTGCCCATAAGTCTCCAGCACGAGAACCCTGCCAGCATTTGTCTGAAGAGCAGTTTGTGGGCAGCAAAGACAAAGGATCGCAAGTGCAATTGGTGAGAACGAGGAACAGGGCCTTCTCGGTGGTGGCCCCCCAACTCTGGAACTCCCTCCCCAAGGACATCAGGCATGCCCCAACATTGGCAGTCTTTAGAAGGAGCTTGAAAACGTGAATGTTTAGTGTGCCTTCCCAGAATAAGGAATCCCAAGCAATATGTCCCAAATGCACTTGAGATTTAGGATTGTCTGCACGCTCACCTATCCCTAAAATATCCATCCTATTTCACTTTGACATGCCTGGCATTTTTTAAATTTTTAATTATTACATTTGGCCCTGCCACAGGTTTTTAAATGTGTTGTGATATTATTGTTATTGTTTTTCTTTGTTTATGAGTTATTTATTGTTGTCGTTCTCTTTTATTGTTGTTATATTTGGGCTCTGCGGGAGATGGTAGCGGGGTATAAATAAAGGATTACTATTATTATTATTATTATTATTATTATTATTATTTCAGGAGACTGAAAGCCAAAACCAAGGTTACAACAACATCTGTTATAGAACTCCAGAATGCTGATGACAACGCCGTCTGTGCGCATTCAGAAGAAGATCGACAAGCCACTCTAAACACCTTCGCAGAAGCATATGAGAAGCTCGGCCTGTCATTGAACATTGAAAAAACCAAGGTGCTGTTCTAGCAGACACCAACCAACCCCTCTCCAATGCCAGTGATACAGCTTAATGGTGTAACATTAGAAAATGTTGATCATTTCCGCTCCCTTGGCAGCCACCTCTCCACCAAAGTCAACATCGACACCGAAATACAACACCGCCTGAGCTCTGCGAGCGCAGCATTTTTCCGAATGAAGCAGAGAGTGTTTGAGGACCGGGACATCCGTAGGGATACCAAGGTGCTTGTCTATAAAGCTATTGTCCTCCCAACCCTGCTATATGCCTGTGAGACGTGTACTGTCTACAGACGTCACATGCAACTCCTGGAACGATTCCATCAGCGCTGCCTCCGGAAAATCCTGCAAATCTCTTGGGAAGACAAGCGGACAAACGTCAGCGTGCTGGAAGAAGCAAAGACCACCAGCATTGAAGCGATGGTCCTCCGCCATCAACTCCGCTGGACCGGCCACGTTGTCCGGATGCTCGACCACCGTCTCCCAAAGCAGTTGCTCTACTCCGAACTCAAGAACGGAAAACGGAATGTTGGTGGACAGGAAAAGAGATTTAAAGATGGGCTCAAAGCCAACCTTAAAAACTCTGGCATAGACACTGAGAACTGGGAAGCCCTGGCCCTTGACTGCTCCAGCTGGAGGTCAGCTGTGACCAGCAGTGCTGCAGAATTTGAAGAGGCACGAATGGAGGGCGAAAGGGAGAAGCGTGCCAAGAGGAAGGCGCGTCAAGCCAACCCGACCGAGACCGCCTTCCACCTGGAAACCAATGCCCTCACTGCGGAAGAAGATGCAGAGCAAGAATAGGGCTCCACAGCCACATACGGACCCACAAGAACACTGGAAGACAATCATCCTCGGAAAGCGAGGGATCGCCTAAGTAAGTAAGTAAGTAAGTATTATTATTATTAAAGAATGGCTATGGAGTGCACAAAGCACTCTGGTGGGGCAAAAGAGGCTCCTCTTTTCCTAAGAAAAGCTCCTCCCAGAACTGGGCTTCTCTAAAGAGCAGCTGCATGCAGAGCCCTTCACCCCCACGGAGCTATGGGGCAGGGCAGCGGAGAAAGAAGCCTTGCCAGCTGTTGCCAAGACTGCAGCCTCCTGCCTGCTCCTTGCGCCTGTCTGAACTTAGCACTCACTCAATCAAATGTGGCAGACAAAAGGGCAAGCAAGGTCAGCAGAGCAAGGGCCACTGGGCAGAGATATTTATTTATCTATTTAAAACACTTATTTATTTAAAACACTTATATTCTGCCCTTCTCACCCCGAAGGGGACTCAGAGCGGAGCACAACATATACATGGCAAATATTCAATGCCTGGATACAATACATAAACATTAAAAAAAACATTTATCTAAATATTGGGTGCTAGAAACAATATCATACGAAAGCTGACTGGCACAACCTGGGGATCACAACCAGGTACAGTGAAGACATCTGCCCTTGCGCTATGCTACTCTGCTGCTGAGTACGCATGCCCAGTGTGGAACACATCTCACCACGCTAAAACAGTGGATGTGGCTCTTAATGAGACATGCCGCATTATCACAGGGTGTCTGCGCCCTACACCACTGGAGAAATTACACTGCTTAGCCGGTATTGCACCACCTGACATCCGCCGGGAAGTGCAGCCAATAGTGAAAGGACCAAGGCAGAGACATCTCCAGCTCATCCCCTGTTTGGGTATCAGCCAGCACGTCAACGACTTAAATCAAGAAATAGTTTTCTAAGATCTACAGAGACACTCGCTGGAACATCTCAGCAAGCGAGAGTCCAAAAGTGGCAGGCTCAAACCCAGCACCTCAATCCGGTGGGTGATACCAAATGAGAGACTCCCCCCTGGGCACACAGAAGACTGGGCGACTTGGAAGGCGCTGAACAGACTGCGCTCTGGCACCACGAGATGCAGAGCCAACCTCAAGAAATGGGGCCACAAAGTAGAATCCACGACATGCGAGTGTGGAGAAGAGCAAACCACTGACCACCTGCTGCAATGCAACCTGAGCCCTGTCACATGCACAATGGAGGACCTTCTTGCGGCAACACCAGAGGCACTCCAAGGGGCTAGATACTGGTCAAAGGACATTTAATCAACTACCAAGTTTGCAAAATTTGTGGGTTTTTTATCTGTTTGTTTGTTTTGTTCTGTTAGAAATGTAATACAAGGTTCTGGTTGCGGATGACACGATAAATAAATCTAAATATTAAAATACATAATTTAAAATAACACAATTTAAAACCATCCTAGCCATCCGCATCAAATCCAATTGGCCCGGTCATCTTTCCCAAAGTTGCCTCATTGCCCTATCCCGAAAGCTTGGTCCCACAGCCAAGTTTTGACCATCCTTCTAAAGGACAGGAGGGAAAGGGCCGACCTGATCTCACCAGGAAGGGAGTTCCATAGCCGGGGAGCAATCACCGAGAAGGCCCTGTCTCTCATCCCCACCAATCGCGCCTGTGGCGCGACAGAAAGCAGGGCCTCCCCGGAGGATCTTAATCTCCGCGACGGTACATAGGGGGAGATGCATTTGGACAGGTAATTTGGGCCAGAGCCATTTAGGGATTTATAGGCCAAAGCCAGCACTTTGGATGTGTCCGGTAGAAACTGGCAGCCAGTAGAGCTGGCGTAACATGGGAGTTGTATGCTCCCTGTTATTAACCTGGCTGCCTCTCGTTGGACTATTTGAAGCTTCCGAGCAGTCTTCAAAGGCAACCCCATGTAGAGTGCGTTGCAGTAGTCTATCCTAGATGTAACGAGAGCATGGACCACCGTGGCCAAGTCTGACTTCCCAAGGTACGGGCGCAGCTGCCGCACAAGTTTTAATTGTGCGAACGCTCCCCTGGCCACTGCTGCAACCTGGGATTCCAGGCTCAGTGATGAGTCCAGGAGGACCCCTGAACTGCGAACCTGTGCCTTCAAGATACCAGGTCTCCCAAAGCAGCACAAATCTTGGCAATAAGGGGGTGGGGGGGGGCACGGCTTGGCTCTGGCAAGGAAGCTTACCTATAAGGGTCTTGCACTCCTTCTTTGGTACAAAGGGCTCCTGCTTGACCACAATGCAAGGCTGTGCCTTGAAAGAGGCAGCCTCCTTCTGCCTCTTCAGCTCTTCATGTAACTGCGAAGGAGAGAAGGAGGACACAGTCAGGGGAGTAGCGGGAGAAGGAGACATAAGGGGACATCTGTGGGCTCATTAACGAAAGACCCTCCTCATAAATGCACAGCAGAGTAACTTAACAGCAGCAGCGTGACCCAGCACCAGTAGTCCAAAGTGATAAAAAGAACAACAACACACAGACCAATGTTATCTCTTCCATAGGAGGACTTTTCTTTGTAGTAAAACAATAGGGTTAATCTATTTACAAGAACAAGGTTTCCATAACACAAATAAAGTTCTTTATACTTCCTTGTTGTAGGTATTTTTGCGCTATATGGCCATGTTCTAAAGCCATGATGGCGAACCTATGACACGTGTGTCAGCACTGACACGCGTAGCCATTTTCGATGACACACGGTCGCATGCGGCCGCATACAGAGAAAATGGGGCTGCATCCCAAGAAGGACATTTCATCCTCGATTCCTACACCAGCATTTTTCTATAATGCCGAGATATATGGCATTATAGAAAAAGCAGGGAAGTTAAATAATTAGTTTTTGGTTTATTAAATACAGTTATATATTACAATAATAAATTTTTGTTATTAAACTATAAACATCATGAAATTATGGTTTTTTTTCTCGAAGTGACACCCCACTCGAGTTATGCTCGGTTTTTTGGCGAGTATTGACACACCAAACTCAAAAGATTGCCCATCATTGTTCTAAAGGCATTCTCTCCTGACGTTTCGCCTGCATCTATGGCAAGCATCCTCAGAGGTAGTGTGGTCTGTTGGAACCAGGAAAATGGGTTTATATATCTGTGGAATGTGAGTGGGACAAAGAACTCCTGTCTGTTGGAGGTAGGTGTGAATGTTTCAACTGACCACCGTGATGGCCTGGCAGTGCCTGGGGCAATCTTTTGTTGAGAGATGATTAGATGTCCTTGTTTGTTTCCTCTGTGTTGTTTTGCTGTTGTAATTTTAGAGTGTTTTTTTAATACTGGGAGCCAGATTTTATTCATTTTCATGGTTTCCTCCTTTCTGTTGAAATTGTCCACATGCTTTTGGATTTCAGTGGCTTCTCTGTGTAGTCTGACATGGTGGTTGTGAGAGTGGTCCAGCATTTCTGTGTTCTCAAAAAATATGCTGTGTCCAGGTCGGTTCATCAGGAGCTCTGCTATGGCTGACTTCTCTGGTTGAAGTAGTCTGCAGTGCCTTTCATGTTCCTTGATTCGTGTTTGGGCACTGCTGCGTTTGGTGGTCCCTCTGTAGACTTGTCCACAGCTGCATGGTACACGGTAGACTCCTGCAGAAGTGAGAGGATCCCTCTTGTCCTTTGCTGAATGAAGCATTTGTTGGATTTTCTTGGTGGGTCTGTAGATAGTTTGTATGTTGTGTTTCCTCATCAGCTTCCCTCTGCGGTCAGTGGTTCCCTTGATGTATGGCAGGAACACTTTTCCTCTGGTTGGATCTTTGTCTTGACTCTCGTGGCTTGTTCTCGGACTTGCAGCTCTTCTGATGTCTGAGGTGGAGTCTCCCTTGGCCTGGAGAGCCCAGTTGAGGTGGTTCAGTTCATCATGGAGGAGGTGGGGTTCTTTATACTTCCTTCGTTGCTTCCATGCTGGGCTTCTTCCTCATGCAGATAAATAGCTTTGCTCTCACAGAGCCTCCTATCACAACAAATTTATATTGGAGCTTAACACAATAGTTTTGTGGTTTTTTTTACACACAGCAGCCTTTACACAGGAGGTCTTCTGCCTGGAGCTTCTCACACAGAGGTTTACCCCGCACTCCTCAGGACGACACTAATTCTAACAGGCTTCAGCCTACTAACCCTTTCAGTGCTTGACTCACACTTTTGTAATAAAAAATACAGTGTTCCCTCACTTATTATGGGTGTTACGTTCCAGGATCACCCATGATGAGTGAAAATCCGCTAAGTAGGGACGAGGAAGAGGAGGACAAGGAGGATCATAGAATCATAGAGTTGGAAGAGACCTCATGGGCCATCCAGTCCAACCCCATTCTGCCAAGAAGCAGGAATATTGCATTCAAATCACCCCTGACAGATGGCCATCCAGCCTCTGTTTAAAAGCTTCCAAAGAAGGAGCCTCCACCACACTCCAGGGCAGAGAGTTCCACTGCTGAACGGCTCTCACAGTCAGGAAGTTCTTCCTCGTGTTCAGATGGAATGTCATTTCTTGTAGTTTCAAGCCATTGTTCCGTGTCCTAGTCTCCAGGGCAGCGGAAAACAAGCTTGCTCCCTCCTCCCTGTGGCTTCCTCTCACATATTTATACATGGCTACCATATCTCCTCTCAGCCTTCTCTTCTTCAGGCTAAACATGCCCAGCTCTTTAAGCCGTTCCTCATAGGGCTTGTTCTCCTTGATCATTTTAGTTGCCCTCCTCTGGCCACATTCCAGCTTGTCAATATCTCTCTTGAACTGTGGTGCCCAGAATTGGACACAATATTCCAGGTGTGGTCTAACCAAGGCAGAATAGAGCATGAGGAGCATGGCTTCCCTAAATCTAGACACTATGCTCCTATTGATGCAGGCCAAAATCCCATTGGCTTTTTTTGCTGCCACATGAGGAGGAGGAGGGGGAGAAGGACTCAGCGTGGCCCTCTTTGGCAGCGGCCTACTCCTCCTCACTGCCTCCGCTGCTCCCCGCTCCTTTCTCAGAGGCCCCTTGGGTGCCGTTGACACCACTGTCAGGCTGAACTGAAGCCTGGTCTTCCATGCTTGGCACGCAAGGGACAAGGAAGTAGGAACGAGGAAGAGGAGGAACCAGGCGCTGGGCCCTCTTCGGCAGCGGCCTCCTCCTCCTCCTCGCCGCCGCCTCAGCTACTCCTGGAGACAAGCCCCAGGTTAAAGTCCTTAAGAAATCCAAGTCTTTCTTTTGGTGGCCAAGAAGAATGTTACTTGTTTTTCCCCCAGTTTTATTACTTTTAAAAAAACCTCTTCTTCACACTTGCATAGATGACGAGAGGAAAAACCTGCAAAACAGTGAGTCCACAATAAGCGAAGCGCTAAGTAGTGGGCAAACACTGTACCTAGCCAATTTTTAGTATTTCTGACAACTTCCTCACCCCAGTGCCATGAAGTCCTTGAAGGAGATCAGCAAAAACTAAGGTAGTAGAGACTGAGGTTCAAATCCTCACCGGTGCCCACCCACAACAAAGGGCCACTTATGCACTGATATCAGAAACGGGCAAACTTTGGCCCCACTGGCTGTTAGGAATTGTGAGAGTAGAAGTCCAAGACACCCAGAGAGCCAAAGTTTGCCCATGCCTGCTTTACACTGAGCTTCCCAATACATATACAATTTCACCCTATGTCTGGAAGCTCTGTCGAACTGGCTACGTGCTAGCAAACTGAAGGTGAACCCGGCGAAGACTGAGATTCTCTGGCATGGCCACCTGGCAGGTCTGACTCATCAGTTACCCACCTTCGATGGTGCTGCCCTATCTCCTTCGCCTACCGTTAAAGAGCTTGGGTGTTGTTTTGGATTCACAGCTGACAATGGAAGCTCAGGTCGCTGCTGCCAGCAAACAGGCCTTTTTCCATCTACGACAAGCGAGGCAATTGGCACCCTACCTATCTGATCAGGCTCTGGCAACAGTCATCCATACCACGGTCACGTCTAGGCTGGACTATTGCAACGCCCTGTATGTTGGCCTTCCAATGTCTATGACCCGAAAGCTTCGTATCGTTCAGAACGCGGCAGCCAGGTTACTCACAAAAACACCCATGAAATGCCATATAACTCCAGTGCTGCAACATTTACATTGGCTTCCAACTGAGTACCGTGGCCTGTATAAGATGTTAGTTCTGACCTTTAAAATTCTTTACGGCCAGGGTCCATCGTACCTTAGGGACCACCTCTCCTTCTCCCATCGTCAGAGGTCGCAACGACCAGCCCAACGCGACTTACTCTCTATACTGGGTCCTAGAGAAGTGCACTTGGAAAGGACCAGGCGCAGATGGGCTTTTTCTATTTCTGCCCCTGCCTTGTGGAATTCCTTGCCGCCCTACATGAGAGCCATGCGTGACTTAGGGCCTTTTACTCTCGCACTTAAGTCCTGGCTTTTTACTAGAGCATTCGATCCCTGTTGATTTTTAATTTTTGTATGTATGTACTTTATCTTTTACAATTTAGCTGTAAATTGCCTAGAGCATTCTCGGATGGAGGGCGATTAATAAGTAATTAAATGATGATGATGATGGTGATAATGATATACCACACAGTCACTTCCCAGCCAAGGTTCAAGGGCATACATAAATGCTTTAAAAGGACCAAAAGGAACAACTTTGAAGGTTCAAAAGCCTTTGCCTTTTGATCATTCCTTTCAAAAACAAATATGCATGGAGTTTAATACAAGCAAAGCCTTCTGATGCGTGGGAAAAGCGGGCCCATTTTCTATATGGATTTTCACACCCTCCTAAAGAAGGCAGAGCAAGAATCCTGCAATGCCTCACTGCCTTGTCAAGTATAAAGAAGCCACAGCTGCCAGTGTCAGAAGGTTGATGTGAGACTTCCTTTCCTATCTCTCTTAGGGAGACAGCTGCTTGAAAACGGTTTCTCTCTAATCTGCAAAGCATTCACCGATTCCCCACTGGTTTCATGGCAGCCTACTTGGAGAAACAGCCAGGAGAGACCAAGAACCAGGTGTTTTCGAAGTCCAAAACATCTGGAGGGTCCAAGTTTGCCTATTCCTGAAGGGGAGAAGACATTCGGAGTTCACAAAATTCAAGCTATTGCACACACACATTTCACTTTTGAAAACCATGTGGTTCCCGTCCTTCTTCCACTGCTTCTGACACTCTACAGACAGAATAAGATACATAAGATGAGCCCTCTGTCCTAACAGGTAGGCAATTTTGATCATAAAAAGCATGGCCAAGGGGAGAAAAAAAGCCTTGACAGCACTAGGACTTTGCTGGATGCTACAGTTCTGGACACTCCTCAATCTATGAGGAGATGGAGCTTGGTCAAGAACACCCAACAAGCTTGCGTGCCCAAAGAGCCAGATCCGACTTTTGCATCCCAACGGAGTGCAGCCCTCTCACCTGTTGCTGCCACATTTCTTGCCGCAACGCCCCACGCTTGTCCACTGCCAGCTGGAAGGGCTCTGGCTTGGTGGGACTCTTCACCTTCTTCTCTGGCAAGCTGACGTTATCAAAATGGGGCAGCTGGAGAGCTCTGAACTTGGGGACCTGCCAAACAAAACACAGAACAAGGCTCAGCAGTGCTTCTCTGTGGTCAGCTCTCCCCAACTGGTTGCTCACTGAGAGGCTTSGTGCATGGCAAACCACTCTACGATGGAGATGGTTCCAGATCAGGCATGGGCAAACTTCAGTCCTCCAGGTGTTTTGGACTTCATCTCCCACAATTCCTAACAGCTTCAGACCCTTTCCTTTCCCCCCTCAGCCTGAGGCTGTTAGGAATTGTGGAAGTCCAAAACACCTGGAGGACCCAAGTTTGCCCATGCCTGTTCTAGATCCACTTCAGCTTCAGACCTGGTCTGGGAAACAAAAACTGGCTTGGAGATGACCTACAGAATGCATAGTTCAAACTTTGGGCATCCCTCCAGGTGTTTTGGACTTCAACTCCCGCATTTCCTATCAACTCGCTGTTAAGAATTGTTGGAATTGAAGTCCAAAACACCTGGAGAGATGCCCAAAGTTTGCCCATGCCTGGCCAACAGAATGACTTATGCCCTGTTGTGATTTATACGAAAGCTAACCCAGTAATTGTGCAGTCCTGTCCAGACTTCCCAGCCCTTTGTTCATCCACAAAGAGTAAATATGAGCCAGGTAAATGGGAAAAAAACAAAATTTACTCTTAAGTAACAGAGTTAATAAGCAGTTTCACAAAAAATATCCAGCTTTGAAAATAACCCAGTCCATTTGCAGAAATCAAACTCACATAAAATTCCTATGCATTACATCCATGCATCTTCTTCTTCCTCAATGGTGCAAGGAGACAAGTCTTGAAGTAAGTGGTTCAGTAAGTCCCAAAATCCACCAGAAACACTCCTGATGTTATACTCCATTCAGGGAGTGGTTCAAGCTTTATCGCTTCAATTATCCAGGTGTTTTTCCTCAACACACACACACACAGAGGAGACGATCCTTACAAAAACTGAATCATATACAAGCATATACTGTAACATGCCCTGCTTGATCTTTAGCACTATCCATGCAAACAGCGTGTTGCAGGCTATCCACCTGCTTGATCCCCTTTTCACCCAAACACCATACTGATCAACAATAACAATAAGTTTATTAATAAAAGATTAACATAAAAAACGGTCTCAAAATAGTGTTCAAAATAAGCAGACTAATGATTCATTAAAGTACCAGCAAAACCCAGTATGCAAAAGCAGTTTCAAAGTTACATTCATGAGCTAGATTTCGAGGAGCTTAATAAATAGCAATGACCATCTCTGAATATGAATTCCAAACATCACTGAAGATAAAAACAAGCAATTAATCCAAGGATTGTTGCACTTAAACTAGATATGTTGCACTTAAATATACAAAAATTTGAAAATAATGAACTTGGTCATAATTCAAAGGCTTGATACTTGAACTTGACTATAATCCCAAAGGCTTGAAACTTGAAACAAAATCTGTAATCCAAACAGGAGGCATGGAACTCAAACAGGAAAACAAGATACAGATCCAAGAACAGAACTCCTACATCGGAGCTCCCAAGACAGGCAACTTAACACATGAAAATCCAAAGTTGATCTCTGCACCGAACATAGACTCCCAATTCCTTAAGAATACTCCCTCTTGCCCATGACATCACTCTTCCTCACACCAGGGTTCCCTTTGTTTGTCTTTCAGGCTCTGGGAACAACTAATTTGTCTCTGTTTCGCACTATCCCTTCTGAGCTGTAAACACTGGGTTATCGGTAACCCTCCCGTCTCCTCCACGTTCCTTTCAAAGTCAACCCCTGCCTGATTCTCATGAGAATTACTGCCTGTTTCATGTTTCTTAATACCTAAATATATATGTTCCTATTCTGACGTTTGTTCATTTTTTGGTGCTGGTCATTGACCGGTGTGTGTATACAAACACACACACACACACACACACAGTAGACTGCCTGTTTCCCAGACAACAGATCTATGCAAAACATTCCCCAAAAAAACACTTAAGTTTTCCCTCACAGAAATACCAGGCTCAAACAAAAAATCCTGTCCTCATCCTCCGAGGCTTCACAGGCCTAAACACAGCCATCTGTATAGGAGCAAAAAACCCTCTCCAATCCCGATGGCCAATAGGTTGGAAAAGGTTTTGTCCCTATTCAGATGGTTCTTTGCTTGAACGGTACTAGAAGAGGACTGCTCCAAACCCCAATGGTAATACTAACCCTAAAAAACTCTAAAATTTCAACAGCACAACAACAGAGAGCAAACAAACAAGGACATCTAATCACCTCTCAACAAAAGTTTGCTCTAGGCACTGCCAGGCCATTATATGCTAATCAAGGTGATCAGTTGAAACATTCATACCTACCTCCAACAGACAAGAGTCCTTTGTCCCACCCTGGTCATTCCACAGATATATAAACCCTTTTTCCTAGTTCCAACAGACCTCACTACCTCTGAGGATGCTTGCCATAGATGCAGGTGAAACGTCAGGAGAGAATGCCTCTAGAACATGGCCATATAGCCCGAAAAAACCTACAACAACCCAGTGATTCCGGCCAGGAAAGCCTTCGACAATACATAGCTCCTTTTTCATCAACAGGTAAAGAAAAAAAGCTTTCCCAAGCAAGATGTGCTTTTGTTGCACCATATACCTCTTCTTTCTGAAGCTCTTCAATTTTCTTCTCTTTCTGGAGCAGCCTCTCTTTGTCCCGGGAGTCGAAGGAAAAGGGGCACAGTTCCACCTGTCTTGGCTCTGTGGGCTTTGGCTTGAAGGGCACCCCAAAGTGAGGCACCGGCTTGGCTTTAATCACGGGAACCACCTCTTCTTCCTGCAGGAGAGAATACCATCAGATGTGCACCAGGAAAGCCAAGAAGAGCAAGGAGACGGCATACAGAGCAACATTCTTCCCTCGCTTTATGTCATCTATGGGGAGAACTTTAAGGAGACTTGGAGAAGGCAGAACAGTTGCTGACTTGAAAGAGAATGCAAGTTTGTTTTCTGCTGCTCCAGAGACTAAGGTACAGAGAAATGGGTTTAAACGACAGGAAGAGAGATTCCACCAAAACATTACAGGAAACGTTTTCTCAACCTGGGGGTCGGGACCCCTGGAGGGGTCGCAAGGGGGTGTCGGAGGGGTCGCCAAAGACCATCGGAAAACAGTATTTTCTGTTGGTCATGGAGGTTATGTGTGGGACGTTTGGCCCAATTCAATTGTTGGTAGGGTTCAGAATGCTCTTTGATTGTAGGTGAACTATTAATCCCAGCAACTACAACTCCCAAAAGTCAAGATTTATTTCCCCCAAACTCCATCAGTGTTCACATTTGGGCATATTGAGAATTTGTGCCAAGTTTGGTCCAGATCCATCATTGTTTGAGTCCACAGTGCTCTCTGGATGTAGGTGAACTACAACTCCCAAACTCAAGGTCAATGCCCACCAAACCCTTCCAGTATTTTCTGTTGGTCATGGGAGTTCTGTGTGCCAACTTTGACTCAATTCCATTGTTGGTGGAGTTCGGGATGCTCTTTGATTGTTGGTGAACTATAAATCCTAACAACTACAACTCCCACAAGACAAAATCAATAACCTCCCCCAATCCCACCAGTATTCAAATTTGGGTATATTGGGTATTTGTGCCAAATTTGGTCCAGTGAATGAAAATACATCCTGCATATCAGATATTTACATTACTATTCATAACAGCAGCAAAATGGCAGTTATGAAGTAGCAACGAAACTAATTTTATGGTTGGGGGTCACCATAACATGAGGAAGCATATTAAGGGGTCGTGGCATTAGGAAGGTTGAGAACCACTGACTTAGATGAAGGGTTAGAAGGCAGGATCATCAAGTTTGCAGACAACACCAAATTGGGAGGGATAGCCAATACTCCAGAGGACAGGAGCAGGATTCAAAAGGATCTTGACAGATTAGAGAGATGATGGGCCAAAACTAACAAAATGAAGTTCAACAGGGACAAATGCAAGATACTCCACTTAAGCAGAAAAAAGGAAATGCAAAGATACAGAATGGGGGACAATGCCTGGCTTGGGAGCAGTACGTGTCAAAAAGATCTTGGAGTCCTCGTGGGGAACAAGTTAAACATGAGCCAACAATGTGATGTGGCGGCAAAAAAAGCCAGTGGGATTTTGGCCTGCATCAAGAGGAGTAGATCCAGGGAAGTCATGCTACCCATGCTCTATTCCACCTTGGTTAGACCACACCTGGAATATTGTGTCCAATTCTGGGAACCACAATTGAAGAAAAATATTGACAATCTGGAATGTGTCCAGGGGAGGGCGACTCAAATGATCAAGGGTCTGGAGAACAAGCCCTATGAGGAGTGTCTTAAGGAACTGGGCATGTTTAGCCTGAAGAAGTGAAGGCTGAGAGGAGACATGATAGCCATGTATAAATATGTGAGAGGAAGTCCTAGTCCGCCTTCGGTGGTTGAGAAGTGCCGGGATAGAAATATGGTAAATGGTAAATAAATAGGGAGTGGTAATCCTTTGTGATATTATAAGTTTTTCTCAGGAGAAGGTGGTGATTTACAGTGTCATAGGCTGCTGGGCGACTAAAATGATCAAGGGTCTGGAGATCAAGCCCTATGAGGAGCGGCTAAAAGAGCTGGGCATGTTTAGCCTTCAGAAGGGAAATCTGAGATGAGACATGATGAGGGCCATATATAAATATGTGAGGAAGCCACAGGGAGGAGGAAGCAAGCTTGTTTTCTGCTTCCCTGGAGCCTAGGACGCAATGGAACAATGGCTTCAAACTACAAGAAAGGAGATTCCATCTGAACATGAGGAAGAACTTCCTGACTGTGAGAGCTGTTCAGCAGTGGAACTCTGTGCCCCAGAGTGTGGTGGAGGTTCCTTCTTTGGAAGCTTTTAAACAGATCCTGGATGGCCATCTGTCAGGAGTGATTTGAATGCAATATTCCTGCTTTTTGGCAGAATGGGGTTGGACTGGATGGCCTATGAGGTCTCTTCCAACTCTTTGATTCTATGGCCAGTGATCCTAACAGATCATGATCCACTATCTCCAATAAATCAAGATGTCCATTCAGCCAGGGCCCACCTCACTCCACAGCCCTGCAGCCAAACAGAGAGGCTGGTGTCAGTTGCTGCTGTTCAAAACAAAAGTGCAAAAATAAGCATCACCTTCTCTTTCTCTTCTCTCGCCAAGGTGTTAACTCTATGCTTCAAGGCAAAAGCTGGAGACTTAGGAACTGTGAGGGGAACCGGTTTTTTCTCTGGAACGCCCTGCAGGAACAAAGCAATGGGTCACTGAGGAACTGTTACAAATACACCACCATGCCATTGGGATTTTGAAAATTATCTACACTGGGACAATGTAGGACAAGTTAACTATCCAGCAGGGAACCAGTGAAAATACTGCAAATCCAACTAAAGATTACACCTGGCTGAAACTTTTAAAGGGGTGGTGCTTGTTTGCCTTTTTCCTCCCAGCTTCCCTAGATGGGTTTTGATCAAGACTGTGTTCCGTCAATTGTACTTTCCAATATTCTTCTGAATGCAACAGATCTGTCTTTTCTATATGAAGCTCTCTGCTGAGGAAATTCTGTGCATTTGCAAGGGGATCATTGTGCTTGGTGCACATTCAGGATTTCTCGTTTTACAGGAGATTACACCTGAACATGAGGAAGAACTTCCTGACAGTGAGAGCTGTTCAGCAGTGGAACTCTGCCCTGGAGTGTGGTGGAAGCTCCTTCTTTGGAGGCTTTTAAGCAGAGGCTGGATGGCCATCTGTTGCTGGAGCTTTGAATGCAATTTTCCTGCTTCTGGGCAGAATGGGGTTGGATTGGATGGCCCATGAGGTCTCTTCCAACTCTAGGATTCTATAACTGCGTGGCCTCGGCATTCGCTTTGTCAGAAATATTAAAAATGAACTACAGTATGTGAGGTAAACCTCAGTGTGAGAGAAACCTCGTGTGAGGAAGCTCCGGTGTGAAGGCTGCTGCATGTAAAGCTACTGTGTATTTGATTATTTGCGTTATGGAAACCTTGGTGTTGTAAATAGTGCAACCATATTAGTTTACTACAAAGAAAAGCCTCCTATGGAAGAGATAACACTGGTCTGTGTGTTTTTGTTGTTTTTATCACTTTGGGCTACTGGTGCTGGGTCACGCTGCTGCTGATAAGTTACTCTGTTGTGCATTTATGAGGAGGGTCTTTGGTTACTAAGCCCACTTGCTCAATAATCTTTACACTGCACAGTACAGGGAAGAACTGAATGCAGACTGACAACACCTTCTCCTATATAGACAGGGGCTCCAGTAAAGATCTAGCTATTTGTTGTTTTCCTCTCCAGTAAGAAAACAAAACAAAACTGGTGCAATGTGGTTGTTACAAGTGTTGTGCTGGCACTACAGAGATGCAAGCTTCTGTGAGCTTAGGGAAGTTGCTGCGTTCCTTAGTCTTGTCTGTCTCACAGAACAAGCATCACTACTCTGACCTCATTAGAAGAAGCATCCCGAGCTCTGAAGATCACCTGGGAAGGAATCCCCCTGGAACATTGCAGCGCACCCAAATACCTGGGAGTCACTCTGGCCCGTGCTCTCACCTACAAGAAGCACTGCCTGAACATCAAGCAAAAAATGGGTGCCAGAAACAATATCATATGAAAGCTGACTGGCACAACCTGGGGATCACAACCAGATACAGTGAAGACATCTGCCCTTGCGCTATGCTACTCTGCTGCTGAGTATGCATACCCAGTGTGGAACACATCTCACCACACTAAAACAGTGGATGTGGCTCTTAATGAGACATGCCGCATTATCACGGGGTGTCTGCGCCCTACACCACTGGAGAAATTACACTGCTTAGCCAGTATTGCACCACCTGACATCCGCCGGGAAGTAGCAGCCAATAGTGAAAGGACCAAGGCAGAGACATCTCCAGCTCATCCCTGTTTGGGTATCAGCCAGCACGTCAACGACTTAAATCAGAAATAGTTTTCTAAGATCTACAGAGACACTCGCTGGAACACCTCAGCAAGCGAGAGTCCAAAAGTGGCAGGCTCAAACCCAGCACCTCAACCATGGCTGATACCAAATGAGAGACTCCCCCCTGGGCACACAGAAGACTGGGCGACTTGGAAGGCGCTGAACAGACTGCGCTCTGGCACCACGAGATGCAGAGCCAACCTTCAGAAATGGGGCCACAAAGTGGAATCCACGACATGCGGGTGTGGAGAAGAGCAAACCACTGACCACCTGCTGCAATGCAACCTGAGCCCTGCCACATGCACAATGGAGGACCTTCTTGCAGCAACACCGGAAGCACTCCAAGTGGCCAGATACTGATCAAAGGACATTTAACCAACTACCAAAATCACAAGTTTTGTATTTGTCTGTTTGTTTGCTTTAGTCTGTTAGAAATGTAATATAATGGACTGGTTGCTCTGACACGACAAATAAATAACCTCATTAGAAAGGTGGGACATAAATATAACTCTGTCAATGGCTATTACTCGCTTGGAAGCCATTCATCAAGATGCACAACTTGAGGCTGTCACTGGCATATAATACTCCCATCAGCCCTAGGCAATGATGATGGAAGGTGGATGATTACCTGGACTGCACAGCTTGCTAAATATTTTCTCCAGTCTCAGAGACGGTAGGCCTCTAAAACTACCAATAGCCAGAGACCATGACCTTGGCTGCCCACTGTATGTACAGAATATTGAACAAGACAGGCCCTCTTGTCTGGCCCACCCTCAGGTGCTCTTTCACCATGTTCAGGCATACAAAGTGAGGGAATTACCACCACATCCTCTAGGATCTTAACAGGGCACGGCCTCGAATGGAACTCGTAGTGCTCCTCCTCCTCCTGTGGTTTTTTGTTCTCACGGTCCTGGATGCGCTTCTCTATCTCCAAGTTGAAGCCAATGGGTTTGGTGGGTTCTTTGGTTGGCGGCTTCTTGGGCAACAGAGGAGCACCTTCCAAGATCCGGTGGTTGAGCTCCTGGGCTTTGAACCTGTACCTGTGGAACGGGGCAGGAGACAGGGAGTGGAATCAAGTTGCTCTTGATTCTGGAGTAATCATCAACCCATTCCCCATTTGACTTTAAATGATTTAGCAGATAGGTGCAAAAAGAGGCCCACAACCAAAGCCAAAGTGAGTCCAAGCCACTAACGCATGAAAGAGATCTCCATGTCAGGACGGCGTGCAATGAGGCAAAGGATGCAGTACGGTGTGCAGTACAGCTGGTGCAGGATGTTGTGGTAAGTCATAGCAGGACCAGGTGTGTGTATGTTGAAGAAAACCTGATGATGTTGATAATCATGTACAGCTGGTAATGTAGGCCAACCAGCAAGCTTGGACTATACCTAATGGGGTATATCTGTATGGGTTTTTTTTAGAATACAGTGTGGGTGGTGGAGAGCTTTTTCTCTGACGAGATCTATGCTCAAATGATTTGCTCTGGGGAGCAATATGGAGAAGATGCCTTATTTTGTGTTACTTACAAGGCAATACGTTTCTTGTACTGTTTGATTTTTGTATGCAACATTGCATGTTTGTTTCATCTCTGCTGGCTGGCCCCGCCAATGGGCCATTTATACTCGGGGAAGGTGGGCATGGCCAGGGGTCTAACTGTCAGTTTTTACTTTCTAGAAGGTTCCGAATGCTACTACGCAAGCGCAGAGATACCAAATGTATGATTCGCAGTGACTACGACAGGAAAAGATTTTTCTGTTCATTTTTGTCTGTGAGTCTATTGCAGGGGTCCTCAAACTTTTTAAACAAAGGGCCAGGTCACAGTCCCTCAAACTGTTGGAGGGCTGGATTATAATTTGAAAAAAACATGAATGAATTCCTACACACACTGCACATATCTTATTTGTAGTGCAGAAAACATTTAAAAACAATACAATAATTAAAATGAATTTAAACTTATTAGTATTTCAATGGGAAGTGTGGGCCTGCTTTTGGCTGATGAGATAGGTTTGTTGTTGTTGTTGTTGTGTGCCTTCAAGTTGTTTAGGACTGATGGTGTTGATAATCATGTACAGCTGGTAATGTAGGTCAACCAGCAAGCTTGTACCACACCCAGTGGAGTATATCTGTATGGGTTTTTTTTAGAATACAGTGTGGGTGTGGGGAGCAGTATGGAGAAGCTACTCTGAAGGAGGCTATAATGGAATAGCTATTTGCCCAAGTTTTATGTTTTGCTCTCTCATTTGATTTAAGATGAAGATGGCTTATTGTGTATTACTTACAAGACAATAAGTTTCTTGTACCGTTTGATTCTTGTATGCAACATTGCATGTTTGTATCATCTCTGCTGAATAAAGAGTAAAGATTTTTCTGTTCATTTTTCCTCTTGTCTGTGAGTCTATTGCAGGGGTCCTCAAACTTTTTAAACAGAGGGCCAGGTCACAGTCCCTCAAACTGTTGGAGGGCCGGATTGCTTTCAAGTCGTTTCAGACTTAGGCTGACCCTGAACAAGGGCTGGGTAAATGACCTTGGAGGGCCGTATCCAGCCCGCGGGCCTTAGTTTGAGGACCCCTGGTCTACTGTATTTGGACTTTGGACGATGAGTAAAATCCGCTGCTGCGCAAGAGGAGGGATGTCATGCAGCTTTCCAGGTCTTATCCGTTAATAATATTAATAATAAAACTTTATTTATACCCTGCTACCATCTCCCCAAGGGACTCGGTGCGGTTTACATGAGGCTGAGCCCACAATACACCAATAATAAAGCAATAGCAACAAACAATACAGAACAGTTAAAATATAACTCATAACCAAAAATAAAAATAGGCAATACAGTAACACAACAAGCATTTAAAAACCTATGGCTGGGCCAAATGTAAAATTAAAATTTAAAAATAATGCTGGGCATGAGCAAGGTAGGAGATAACTGGGATAGAAATTTCAGAGGGGATAGGACGTGCAAATCAATCCTAAATCAATAATAAAGTGCATTTGGAGCTTGGATTAAGCTTGGATGCTGCCTTCTGGAGCACCAGAAAACATGCACATTCCACCTTGATATCTCAGTGGGTTATCGTTTTGCCTTTCAGGCTTCTTCGCTTCAGGGCCAACATGCCTGGTGCCTCACAAGGCTCGCTTTGTGGACACCTGGCTCTGGGAACCTTCCATCTCTGCCTGCCTGCTTGCAGTTGCCTCAGAGGACAGCTCATCAGATGTCCTTCATGGACAAAGAGTTACACTTACTGCTGCAGCCGGGCAATTTCTTCTGCCTCCAGCTCAGCAGAGCTCTTGCAGGTGGCAGGCCTGGAACGCGCCTTCGTTTCGAGGCGGGGAGTTTTCGCCATGGTCAACTTGGGCTTTAAAGGTCTGTTTGTGCCTGCAGAAAGAGAAGAAAAGATTCCACCAGAACATTAGAAATAATGTCCTGACGGTCAGAGCTGCTTGATAGAGGAATAGGATGCCTGGGAGTTGGGTGGAGTCTTCTCCTTTGAAGGTTTTGGAACAGAGGTTGGATAGCCATCCACTGGGAGGGCTTGGATATACGGGCCACTTTTCCCTCCTTCTCTCAAGCCACCTCTCTCTCAGCTGTTGTTTTTTCCTCCCTCGTGCAGGAGCAAGGGGTGGGGGGAATGTTGCTTTAACGCATGCTCTGTATAGTCATTTAGCTTTGTGGGGGGTTTAAGTTCTTTCCAGTTAATTTTTTTTTTGAGTGAAAGACATAGATTGCTTTGGTTGGTGTCTTGTGTCCAAATTTGGTGTCAATTCGCCCAGTGGGTTTTGAGTTCTGTTAATCCCACAAACTAACATTACATTTTTATTTATATAGACTAGCCGTCCCCTGCCATGCGTTGCCGTGGCTCACATGGGGGGTCTTTGTGGGAGGTTTGGCCCAATTCGATCATTGGTGGGGTTCAGAATGCTCTGTGATTGTAGGTGAACTATAAATCCCAGCAACTACAACTCCCAAATGTCAAGATTCTATTTTCCCCAAACTCCACCAGTGTTTACATTTGGGCATATTTAATATTCTTGTAGAGCTTGGTCCAGATCCATCATTGTTTGAGTCCACAGTGATCTTTGGATGTAGGTGAACTACAACTCCAAAACCAAAGGACACTGCCCACCAAACCCTTCAAGTATTTTCTGCTGGTCATGGGAGAACTGTGTGCCAAGTTTGGTTCAATTCCATCGTTGGTGGAGTTCAGAATGCTCTTTGATTGCAGTTGAACTATAAAACCCAGGAACTACAACTCCCAAATGACAAAATCATAATTTTTTGAGTGATGGTCACTCCTTGTGTTGTGAGACATTTTGTTGCCAAATTTGGTGTGAATTCGTTCATTGGTTCTTTTGTTTTTAAGGAACTCCTTATGCACAGAGTATTTTTATATATATAGATAGATTAGGCCACTATTGTGCATGGATCCAATTGTGGGAGTTGAAGTCCAAAGCACCTGGAGGGCCTAAGTTTGCCGGTACCTGGCCTAACCAGTGAACTGTCATAACCTGGAGTTTTCTAGGCACAACTGTCTGCCTCTTATATAGGACACAGGAAAAAAGGCAGCCCAGAGAACACAGGACAGCAAAAACCATGGGCTGTGTACAATGTGAGGGCTATATTGTGCCACTCCTGACTTAAAGGGGCTGAATGTACAGTCCTGCCCACAAAGGGATTCCCAGCTCTCCACATCCCAGCTTTACCTTCGTTGTCTTTCCTGCTCCGCAGGTGGTAACGCTGGGGAGTGACTTTCTGGAAGTTTTGGACTTGCTGAGCCAAAGACACGTATTCTTCGTGGGTTTCGTCAAATTTTCTTTTGTTGCCCTGGGACAGATTGAATGGTTTTGGGATTGTGGGTCCCTTTGGCAATCGGGCCTGTAAAGAGACACAACGGGCTAAGACCAAGCTGCTCTGCCTGTCCAAACACTGGCCTTTGCCACAAGACTAGGATGCAAGACCTTACATAGAATAATGGTTATCTGAATTGTAGTTATTCAACAGTAGTTGTAAGGTAACATGGAAATATTAGGGTACATACATTGTTTAATGGGTACTTCATGATGATACTATTTTGTCCTGTCAAAATTCCAAGAGAAACTGTGATTTACAGGCAATTATAATCCACCTTCCACAATAATCCATCTAGGGCAGTGTTTCTCAACCTGTGGGTCGGGACCCAGGTGGGGGTTGTGAGGGGGATTTCAGAGGGTTCCCCAAAAACCATAAAAAAACTCATATTTCTGATAGTCTTAGGAAGCCCTTTGGCAGTGAAGGCTGAAGATCTCTCCGCCTGTCCTTCTCTTCCTTTTTTGGAAATAGACAGCAAATCCTCCCACCAAAACCCCTCCTTCTGGTATGATTGTAGGTGAACTATAAATCTCAGCAACTACAACTCCCAAATGTCAAAGACTATTTTCCCCCAAACTCCACCAGTGTTAACATTTGGGCATATTGAGTATTCTTGCCAAGTGTGGTCCAGATCCATCATTGTTTGAGTCCTCAGGGCTCTCTGGATATACGTAGGTGAACTACAACTCCCAAACTCAAGGTCAATGCCCACCAAACCCTTACAGTATTTTCTATTGGTCATGGGACTTCTGTGTTCCAAGTGTGGTTCCATTCTACTGTTGGTGGAGTTCAGTGTTCGCTGATTGTAGGTGAACTATAAATCCCAGCAAATACAACTCCCAAATGTCAAGGTCTATTTTCCCCAAACTCCACCAGTGTTTACATCCGGGCATATTGAGTATTTGTGCCAATTTTGGTCCAGATCCATCATTGTTTCAGTCCACAGTGCTGTCTGGATGTAGGTGAACTACAATTCCCAAACTCAAGGTCAATGCCCGCCAAACCATTCCAGTATTTTCTATTGGTCATGGGATTTCTGTGTTCCAAGTGGTTCAATTCCATTGTTGGTGGAGTTCAGAGTGTTCTCTCATTGTAGGTGAACTATAAATCCCAGCAACTACAACTCCCAAATGTCAAGGTCCATTTTCCCCAAACTCCACCAGTGTTCACATTTGGGCATATTGAGTATTCGTACCAAGTTTGGTCCAGATCCATCATTGTTTGAGTCCACAGTGCTCTCTGGATGTAGGTGAACTACAACTCCCAAACTCAAGGTCAATGCCCACCAAACCATTCCAGTATTTTCTATTGGTCATGGGACTTCTGTGTTCCAAGTGTGGTTCAATTCCATTGTTGGTGGAGTTCAGAGTTGTCTCTGATTGTAGGTGAACTATAAATCCCAGCAACTACAACTCCCAAATGACAAAATCAATTTTTTGAGAGAAGGACCCATCAACCCCACCAGTTTTCAAATTTGGGCATATTGGGTATTTGTGCCAGATTTGGTCCAGTGAATGAAAATGCATCCTGCATATCAGATATTTTACATGACGATTCGTAACAGTAGCAAAATTTACAGTTACGAAGTAGCAATGGAAATAAAGTTATGGTTGAGGGTCACCACAACATGAGGAACTGCATTAAGGGGTTGCGGCATTAGGAAGGTTGAGAACCACTGATCTAGGGCTACGTGACTTCAAATGATCCAAAGCCAATTTTCCACTCCAAGATCCAATAGAGGCTGCAAACCATATCTATATAAATAAAAATGTAATGTTCGTTTGTGATATTAACAGAACTCAAAAACCACTGGACGAATTGACACCAAATTTGGACACAAGACACCTAACAACCCAATGTATGTCCTTTACTCAAAAAAATTGATTTTGTCATTTGGGAGTTGTAGTTGCTGGGATTTATAGTTCACCTACAATCAAAGAACATTCTGAACCCACCAACGATGGAATTGAACCAAACTTGGCACACAGTTCTCCCATGACCAACAGAAAATACTGGAAGGGTTTGGTGGGCAGTGTCCTTTGGTTTTGGAGTTGTAGTTCACCAACATCCAGAGATCACTGTGGACTCAAGCAACGATGGATCTACAACTCTACAAGAATACTCAATATGCCCAAATGTGAACACTGGTGGAGTTTGGGGAAAATAGAATCTTGACATTTGGGAGTTGTAGTTGCTGGGATTTATAGTTCACCTACAATCACAGAACATTCTGAACCCCACCAACGATAGAATTGGGCCAAACCTCCCACACAGAACCCCCATGTGAGCCACAGCAACGCATGGCAGGGGACGGCTAGTTTATTTTAAAAATCTAAATTAAAAATGTAGAATTCTCAAAGGCACTTTGTAGACAGATTAGAAACTATCAATCTTGGGTGTCAGAAGAAGAAAAATGGTGGCCTATGCCTTTGCCAGCAAAACCAGACTTGGGGGCTCTACGTTTTCTATCTTTTGATTACAGTTTACAATTCAAGTCTCTTATCTCAGCTAAAATTGTCAGATTAACACAAAACAACGGCTTGATTGACAACGAAACATGCTGCCTCTTTATGTGCTAAGGCATAGCAGGTCAAAAACACAACAGATCTTCCAAATACATTGGCGCCCATTCTTTCTGCATTCTTCCATACTGCTCACAATGCATGTGTTTCTGCCTGCTGCTTCCGTCTGTGCTTCCCACTTACAACGTGCGGCATCTGACAGCCCCTCAAGACCACCACCCATGCCCAGTGTGGAACACATCTCACCACACTAAAACAGTGGATCTGGCTCTTAATGAGACATGCCGCATTATCACGGGGTGTCTGCGCCCTACACCACTGGAGAAATTACACTGCTTAGCCGGTATTGCACCACCTGACATCGGCCGCGAAGTAGCAGCCAATAGTGAAAGGACCAAGGCAGAGACATCTCCAGCTCATCCCCTGTTTGGGTATCAGCCAGCATGTCAACGACTTAAATCATGAAATCATTTTCTTAAATCTACAGAGACACTCGCTGAAACACCTCAGCAAGCGAGAGTCCAAAAGTGGCAGGCTCAAACCCAGAACCTCAATCCGTGGGTGACACCAGATGAGAGACTCCCCCCTGGGAACACAGAAGACTGGGCAACTTGGAAGGCACTGAATAAACTGCGCTCTGGCACCACGAGATGCAGAGCCAATCTTAAGAAATGGGGCTACAAAGTGGAATCCACGACATGCGGGTGTGGAGAAGAGCAAACCACAGACCACCTGCTGCAATGCAACCGGAGCCCTGCCACAGGAACAATGGAGGACCTCCTTGAGGTGACACCAGAGGCACTCCAAGTGGCCAGATATTGGTCAAAGGACATTTAATCAACTATGAAGTTTTGCAAAAATTGTGCTTTTAAAAACCTGTTTGTTTGTTTTGTTCTGTTAGAAATGTAATACAATGGTATGCTTGCTGATGACACGATAAATAAATACCACCCCCACCCCCTGCCTTGGATCCGGATGCCCTTCCCTCTCTCACCGGAGATGGTGGGTGTCTCCTTAGGGCCGCCACGAAGTCTACCTCCTTGTATTCTGCGCCAGGCTCCCCATGCTGCTTAATCCTGCCATCCGTGGAGAAATGAAAGTCTACTGGCTTTGTTACTGATCTGTTGGTTGCCACTTTCATAGGTTGTCCTAAAGGGAAGAAAATGGGGTGTGTGAAAAATTTCATGGCATATATTCCAAGTTTTAGTGAGTTCAGGAGTCCCCGAAAGGCAAATCGAACTACTCAAACTAAAGCTTTGTGCCCAATGAGATAAAAGTGGCCTGCAAAACATACTAGATTGGGTGATACACATTAGGGACCACCAAACATTAGTGGGATGGAATTACATTAGTGGGACAGCTCAGCAGAACAGAAAAAAACAGTGTAGAAATACAGGGCCTGGGGAAACGTGGTTTTTGGACCACGATGTCCACAATACTCCCCAGTTAGCCTAGCCCAGTGTTTCTCAACCTGCCTAATGCCACGACCTCTTAATACAGTTTCTCATGTTGTGGTGACCCCAACCATAAAATTATTTTCATTGCTGTAATTTTGCTACTGTTTTGAATCGCAGTGTAAATATCTGATATGCAGGGTGTAATTTCATTCCCTGGACCAAATTTGGCACAAACACCAGATATGCCCAAATTGGAACACTAGTAGGGTTGGGAGGTGTGGGGTTGAATTTGTCATTTGGGAGTTGCAGTTGCTGGGATTGATAGTTAACCTAAAATCAAAGAGCATTCTGAACTCCATCAATGATGGAATTGAACCAACTTGGCACACAGAACTCCCATGACCAATAGAAAATACTGGAGGGGTTTGGTGGGCATTGAGTTTTGAAGTTGTAGTTCACCTACATCCAGAGAGCACGGTGGACTAAAACAGTGATGGATCTGGACCAAACTTGGTATGAATACTCAATGTGCCCAAATGTGAACACTGGTGGGGTTTGGGGATAACAGACTTCACATTTGGGAGCTGTAGTTGCTGGTATTTATAGTTTGCCTACAAT